AATGTTTACAAACAAGACCACACTAAAGCTACCAGCACAACTATGTTTATTGCAGCATTATTTACCATAGCTAAGATATGGAACCAACCCAGATGCCCTTCAGTAGATGAATGGATCAAGAAAATGTGGTATATATACACAATGGAATTCTATGCCTCCATCAGAAAGAATGACTTGGGACTTTTTTGTTTTTTTGCCAGTACCTGGGTTTGAAAACAGGCCCTCATGTTTGCTCAGCTTGCTTGCTTGGCTGGTGCTCTCCCATTTGAGTCATGCCTCTAGTCCTGCTATTTGCTGGCTATTAGGGAATCTCAGGACTTTTCTGACCGAGGCTTCCTTTGAACCACAAGATCTCAGTCTCTTGAGTATCTAGGGTTTGTGGGTGTGAGCCACTGGTGCCCAGCAGACTGGTTCCTTCATGATGGTGACTTCCAATGGCTTGAAATATCTAGGCTGTCACTTCTAAGGAAAAAAGTATTATTATAAGCACCTTTGATACTTAAAGTCAAAGATTCTCCATGTCATTGTGAGCCACATTTTGCTACTGCAGATGTGAGGTGTCAGAATGTTAAAAGCAACCTCAGAACAAGCTCACAATACACATCTCCCACTACAACACACACATTTATTGAAGTCCTGCTGCAGCTTCAGATGTCAAGACACTTGATCTTGGGAAGAATTTAGGAAGGGGGGATTTGAGGAGTTTTTCTGTTCGTTTTTGTTGGTCGTGGGGCTTGAACTCTGGGCCTGAGCACTGTCTTTCAGCTCTTCAGCTCAAGGCTAGCACTCTACCACTTGAGCTACAGCACCACTTCTGGTTTCTGGTGGTTTACTGGATATGAGTTTCATGGACTTTCCTGCCAGGGCTGGCTCTAAACCGTGATCCTCAGCTCTCAGCCTCCTGAGTAACTAGGATGACAGGCGTGAGCCACCGGCGACTGGCTTGAGGGTTATTTTTGTGATTTGACTGAACTAAAGAACATCTAGATGCTCCAAAATCATTCTAAATTGTGTTTTTAGGGGTACTTCCAAAGGGGATAGCATTTCAATCAGTAGGCTGGGTAAAAGGCCCACTCCAACTCACATGGATAAGCGCCATCCTATCCATTGATAAGACCTAGAACAAAAATCTCACTGATTTCTTTTCCCATTTTCCTCCTCTAATCTCTTCCTCCCCTCTCCCTCTAATAGAGGGCTTGGTAATATATGTAGGTCACCTCTCTAAATGAATAATGTGGAAACTAAAATTTACAGCCCAAATCATAAAGGTCATATAGCTAAACCATTTTGCCAGAAATAAGATGGCTGAAAAACCTAAATTTGATGGAAAAAATATTATATATGTCCACACAAGGAATGCACACATATGTTGATAGTACTTTCTAACTTTCTATATCCTAAAGGCAATGGCTATCCTCCACATTCCAGCCAGCTTTGGATAAGCTTCTGATTTACTTGCTGAATTCACTGTACTCTACTAACACTTTTAAAAGGAAGAAACTATCTCTCTTTTGAGTCACTGATGTAAAGTACTGATTTAATTAAAATGAATACACACAAAAGGAGTGGGACATTGATAAGGTGGTTCTTTGCAAGTGTGAAGAGAGACAGGAGCATTTAGTGTAGCATTTAGTGAACTGGAAGTGTATTTTGGCTTGCTGGCATCTCAGTGGTTAAGGAGTAATATTTTGTCTTCACTATTTATTGAATTTTTTAATGGTTTTCATAAAAATCAGGTCAATATGTATTCAAATGTCTTTTTTCTTTCATGCGATTGTTTCTAACACATTTATAAGATTATTTCTTTGTTGATTTGTATGTCCCTCCCCCACAGTATAACCCCTGCTTTCACTGTATTTGATGTCGGTATAATTTGTGGAGGGGAAGAGGAAAAACAAATCGTTTAAATAAG